CTTCTCTTCTTTTGTATAAATAAGATGTAAAGAAAGCCACGGCAAATATTGTCTTAATACTTATTTTAATACACATAAGGTAGTGCAGAATTTCTGTTTTGCGTATGACTTTTTTTTTAATTGCTCTTGACTTAAATCATGAATTAGCAGACAAACAGTTGTGCAGATGCAGCATTCTCAGGAGCTGGCTATAAATAGTTCTTTAAAGGTATGTTTAAGGGTAGCAGAGACTATATTTAATGTTTTACTTAAATAGACTGCTATTTCCACTAGCCAGATGTGACTTTTTTTTCGGCTTGGTACAAGATTTAATGTGGAGCATCTTGGATATGAGAGGCTGAAACCTTTAACTATCTACGTTTGTTTTTGCAATATTCTGTTACCGTCACAGGGTCAGCGTTATCTAATAAAACAGCCAACTTCTGATTCAGGTTGCTTATTAGCAATATATATTTTGGCTTTATATGGCTGTCATTACGATATTCTAATAATAATGGGAATGACTGTGTGGTTGCAAAGCACAGACAGGAAAGTCTTGTGGAACAAAATTACAGCGCAGTCGAGAGCAGAGGCTTGTATAGCAGAAAACCCATAAAGTCTGTGGTATGTTATAAACTAGGGTTGGGTATTACCAGAGTATTGGAAAGCAAGCCTTGTTGTTACTCACTTCCTGTTTTTTGCCATATCATAGTAACTCTTTCACAAAGAGGGAGAACAACTGCTATTCGTAACATGGGCTATCAGGCTATTGAAACTGTCTTGATATAATATAATAAAAGCACTTTTTACATCACTCTAAATTCTACTCCTTTAAATCTATGCTTGTTGCTCCCCCAAATATGTAAGTCATTGTGTAACTGGAAGAAAGCTGCCTTTCAGTTCCAGTGAGTGAGTTCTCAGATATTTTCATACCTCAGAGGGGCATTACAAGAATAAATTCAGAAACCTATGGGACGAAATAAAAAATGGTGGTGATGGAAGTCTGATAATTAGGCAAGCTTCTATTGTTGCTGAGTTGTTGATATGTCTTTGTTATTATTGTTGCTTTATTGCTATTTATTTCTTTACTATCTCATTCCCTTCTATTTAATTTGTCTTTTTTTTTTTTCTCTCCTTCCATCCCATGCTACCAATATCATACTTCTGCTATGTATGGTCTGGTGGGAGTGAAGAGAGGAAACTAGCTGTGAATGTCCCAAGTTCACGGTCCTGTCCATGTCAGAAAAGCGCTCTTTGCAGGCATTATAGCTCTTTTTGGAAAGAATTCCCAGATACCAGGGACCACTGGACAGTTGGAGGCGATGCTGTTCTGCATGGAATTTCAGCTTTTCTACTTGCCAGTTACTGTTTCACATACTTAAAATACTGTGTCTTGAGCATTCAGATCTGGATGCCTAAAATTAGAATTTTAAATCCTAATTCAACATGCAAAAGTCTCAACCAAGTCAGTGGCAGTTTCAGAAGCTTCACATCTTAAAAAAAGGTGTAGGCACCTTTGATTTGGGTACCTATGTACGTACTGATTTAGGAATTCAACTTTGAGCATCTAAGTGTGAAAGGCCAAATTTTTCACACTATCTATAGCTTAGTAAAATCCCAGGATTTCTTTTCATAATCAGCATAATGCAATATGAATAAAGCCCTGATCCATGTCCCACTAAAGACTGTTTAAAGTTGTGAGTGCCTAAGGGATACAGTGTTTTCTCTCAGAATGTCATTTGATACTCAGCAGACTGCTCCTTAAGAGTTTCTGAATTAACGTGGTCTGTAGTGACCATACATGTTCATTGAACTGTGTCTCTGCCAGCAGTTTTCTGTATAAACAATTGTGAAAGTTCCTGGGAAGGGTAAGATGAAGAATTTGGTTTCATGTAAATCCATGCCAGCTTCACTTGCAGCTTTGGAACAGTTCATCCTTCCCTTATATAAATATTTTTATAAATGTTTGAATCCAAAAATAAATACAGTAATCGTAGGGGAAGAAATAAAGTAAGCAAAAGACATTGGGATTACATTCTTCTCTCACTTGCACCAATATGAATCCTGAGAAGCTCTGTAGATTTCATTGGAGATGCTCTGGTTTTCTGCTGCTGTAAACAGAAGCAGAATTTAGCCCCTTATCTCAAAGTTGGAGGATAACCAACATTAACACACACACTCTTAAAACTGGAGTTTTACAAGTGACCTAGGTGTGCCCTAAGAAACAGATACATATAGTGGTCACATCCTGAAGTTTATACTCAAGACTTATTCTTCAGACCATTCTTGGACAAAATTCACACTGAAATGGAAAGAATACTTTAAGAAAAAAGGTTGCATTTTTGAAGAAATGTCCAGTTTGCTAAAATGACTTCTCTGTAGAAATGAGCAGTCTCTGTATTCAGTATATTGAAAGATGAATTTGAACATCCTCTTCTCACCCATGTGCATGGGTTTAATGTTTTTGGGGGTGTTTTTTTTTTGTTTTTGTTTTGTTTTTTTGTTGAGTAACACTGCTTTTTCTTTTGACCAGATGAACGTGAGGCAGTTCAGAAGAAGACTTTCACAAAGTGGGTTAATTCACACTTGGCACGTGTATCATGCAGAATTACAGATTTATACGCCGACCTTCGCGATGGACGGATGCTTATCAAACTGCTGGAAGTTCTTTCAGGAGAGAGACTTGTAAGTTCTGTTTATTGATATTCATTGGGTTCCCTTTTTGTCATTTTATTTTTAAAACAATAGGTGATATCCTAGCTCCACTGAAATCAGATAAAACTACCACTGACTTAATTTGTATTTCCAATAAACATTTGTAAATGTATTTCACTTAAGTAAGGGCCTGATCTAACTCCCATAGCAATACCTTTCTGTTGACTTCAAATAGGAGTTGGCTGAGGCTAAGGGTTCTAGCCCATCAAATGCTAAGTGCTTCTGGAAATGGGTGGGCACCCTGAGCTTCTACTGAACTCAATGAAAACACTCAAGGGTGATGCATGGTTTTTGGGCTTCCTGTGTTTAGGAGCATATACAGCATTTTAAATCTTATGGGACAGATTCTCTCCTCATGATTAATATGAGAATTTGCCATTGCTACTGGACCTGTGAAATGGTGTGTAATAAATAAAACCCTTGTTAACAACTGGTGCTGCATGACTATTAAAACTGTTTGTAGGAATGGTGAGAGATCACTTTCCCCCCCCAATTTTATTTAAACAATGGCCCAGCTCTTACATGCCTAATTAAAAAAAAAAAAAAAATCATCCTCGTGTACACATTGACTTGTGATGCAAGGTTACATGAGGTTGCAACCGTGTAATTGGATGTCATCAAATAGTCAATGGTCTTGTTAATGGAAGCTTATGACTTAAGACCCTGTGTATACCCTTACATGTTGTGTTAGTACTATAAAGCAAGAAATAAGCATTTCCAAATGTAACTTTGATGGTAAGTAAACCCTGAAGTCTGATCCTATATTAGAATGTCCACACTTGGATGAATTTCATCCTAAAAGTTTACTTTTCCTTTTATTAACTAACATTTATTTTAAAGATAAGATGACTCTTCTTTTGTAGTTTCTGGGTTTTGTAGTACTGTTTGGGGAATGTTATCTCTTGATTGCTGTAAGTTGGTTTGTTTTTTTTTGGATAGGGTGAGAGATAAATCTAACAAATGTAAATAAATAGATTAGCATTTGTACTGAGGTACCGTGCTTGGAATTCAATATATTTAGCTTATATATTTCCTATATTTTGATTAAAATACATTTCTCTGTGATCAGTAATTTGTCCTTGTGTGGTGTTAATGTTTGATGTATTCAATGCAAACGAAGTTTAGACCAGATTCTGCTTTTAGCTTCTCAGGGATGAACCCGAGATCAAAGTTAGCCATTATTGTAAATTCTAGACTGTTATTTTAGGGATCAAAACTGAAAACTCTTTAACAAAGTTTCATCTCCATCTCAGTTAAATATTCTCATATACCTGCTATGAATTGAGTTTTGGAGCCCTGTTTACCTTATCTGTGGGAAACTCAGTCAAGTCATGCGATTTCATTTATGTCATTTGTTTATTCTTTTTCATACCAGGGTTTGAAAAATGTATCCTGTATTCAAATAGGACACTTAATTATTCTGAGGATGGTGTTACAAAACTAGCAGTAGCCTCATAATGAGAATGCAGCCATGTCACCATTAAAATATCACAGTGGTGTTTGGCAACACTGCTGCAAATTCTGTTTAACGTTGTTATCTCAGCTTTATAATGTGACTACAGGAATATTTGCTTAAACGATACATTCTAGCACATCTTCTTTTGCAAACAGGAATCTATAGAATGTAATTCACTAATCCTTTAGGCCGTTATGCCAGTTATGGAAAATATATTTCTAGGATCAGCATATAGCATTTACTTGCTGAAGTTCTACAACATCTTCAAATGCTGCTCTTCATAATTTGTATATGCAGTATACTCAGTGCTGTATCAGCACAGATACCTGGATAGACTCTTCTCCAGGAAAGCTGATAGTCCTAGCAAGCCAAGGCTGTTGGGATAATTAAAAACTATCCTTGATTATTTTCTTTTAAATATGCTTTTTATACTGATTCAATAAAATTATGCTCATGTTGCAAATTCTGTCCATGCTTGAGCAGTTCTTTTCACATTGTATAGAAAAATAAACAGTTAAGCATGTTAAAACATGTCACATTTTGGATGTCCCAACTGATTTATCCAAAAGGGTTGAGAACCTTCTCTCTGCAAAATAGAAACATTTAACATGTCTCTCCATTTCGGAAACTTGAAATAAATTTAGCAATTGGTGTTGGCTTGAAAATTCAACAATTGTTGTCGGAGGAGCTCTGCATAAACACCCACAAATCTTCAGATCCTTGCATAACACACTCTTCTCCTATAAGCCTTCCAGAAAACTTGATCGCTTGGTTTGCTGATATGTTGAGATCTCTCCCTGTCATGCTGATTAATACTGTTTTCTTGTACTCCCCAGCCTGTCTGTATGTATCTGTCTGCAGCCTGGTATTTAGATTGCAAACGTGTTAGTATAGTGCCTGGCAAGCTGGGGTCCTGGGTCATGATAAGGATTCCTAAGCACTGACCTTACAAATAATTAATAATTACTTCATTATAGCAGCATTTCCCAATTTGTGTGCCACGGCCGTGAGGCAAGTCCAGGTGTGCTGTGGAATTTTGGGCTGGAGCCACGCCCCCACCTGCCGCTGTGGACAGACAGACAGATGGGGGGCATGGCTCCAGCCAGTGACTTGCATCCACGTGTTGTGTTCAATGCTCCACGCCCCGCCAATCGCCATCCTTCCCTTCTCTCCCCCCAACTCTGCATTCGACTGGTGTGCTGTGGGATGGGAGAGGCCTGGTAAGTGTGCTGCCATAAGGTTGGGAAATGCTGTATTATAGTTAATTTTTCTGTACATCTGAAGGTAGTAATGACTGGTCTGTAGTTCTTGAGATCACTTGGGACCCTTTTTAAAGACAAGTGCAACCTTCCATTCTTTACTAAAATCAATTTTCAGTCCTAGTTTTCATTCTAGTTCATATTACATGAAGTCTTAAACATGCCAAATTTTTTAGAAGAAACAAGAAAACTTGCCATAGTTCCACTGAGCAAAGCAGGAAAGAATCTCGCCAGCATAAAAAAAACAATAGTCGTTTTGGTTTCATACACTGTTAACCAGTTTCTCCCAAACAGAAGAAATAAGATGAAGTATTGTTGTATAAAACAGCATTTAGTTCAATTTCCACTTCAAATAAGAGTTCACTTATGTATTTATAATTGCTGTAAGCTTAAATGTCAAATCATTTAAGCAGATCTGCTGTGTTTATTTCTTTCATGTTGTTACGGGGTGTTGTCTCTCCCCATCTCGCTCGGCGACTTGCTTGCCACGCCTTTGATGGGAGAAAATTGATAAATTAATCCCGAGCGAGTTACAAATCGGGTGGCCTTTGTGTACACTATTTTGATAGTCGTTTCGTTTATTAGTTTTTTCCGGACCAGGCAACAAATAACTGAGAAACAGAAGTAACCAAAACTATCCCCATCGCTGGGGAACCTGACCGTGTTGGGGCCCGCCCCTCCTTTACTAATTTGCCTTTTCAGGTGGGTTGGGTCTCGTTCCCCGGACCATCTTCGCTGCAGCCAGCCACCACGGTAAGTAGAATCCTTGCTCTCGCCTCCCCGTGTGGTGGAGCTCCGTTGTAATCAGTTCTATGTTCAGTGCCCTCCAGGTCAGGACTCTCCCATCCCTCGCTGTCCTCTTGCTCCCTCTCAGTACCTTCCGGGGGCAGTTCTTCTTTTCTCAGTTGTCCATTCTTATTGCCGCCGTCCCTCGCCTTCATGTCGTTATCCTTAACTCTGTGCTGGTGTGTAATCCTCATAGCCAGCTGTCCTTAACTGCTGTCCTTTCCCACCTATGAACCTCTGCCCCACTCCCCGGGCAGCGGCTCTTTCAAGTCTCTAAGTAACAGGGTTTACCGGCACCCTGTTACACATGTATTGTATTAGAAAAGGAAACATTTGAAGACATTTACAGTTTCTTGTTTACACAAATAAATTTACTGGAAATCCTGAATTGGCTGTAAAGTCAATGAGTGATAAATCTGGCCTGCATTTCTGGTCCCTCACATTTTCCTCGTCTGTTAGCTGCACTAAGGGTGACAGTCACCTCAGTGGAGAGGGCTGGTGCATGATTCTCCATACCACTCCTGTGTCATACTGTGACCTTACAGAAAGGACTTTGAGAAGACTGCAGTCCACGTAGGTTATTAATCAGTAGTCCCTCTCCTCGTCCGCCAGAAGTACTCCTTTTGGGAGGGTTGGAGGTTGTCATCTTAGAACCAGGAAAAAAACAGGTCATACATTAGAAGTAAAACACCTACTGTAATATATTTTAATTTCATTACGAAAAGTATTTTTGTCATGATTTGTGTTTGTGGTGATTGCATAATAACTCAGAAAAATTAGTTCTTAGTCTTGTATGGTGTGGGGTGTGTGTGCTTCCTTCCTGTGCCTGGCTAGTGCAGGGTCTGCGCGTGAGTGGCAGCAAGCACTGGTGATAGAGGTGGCCTTTAGAGTGTGCGCTTCTCAGTGCAATGTGCAGCACTGGCTGGAGCTGTGCCCTGCTGGGCACCTGTGCCCTGCCTGCTGTTGCTGCTGCTGCCTCTGCCTGCTGGGGCTGCGCGCCATGGGGGGAGTGTGTGAGGGTCCCCACACCCCCCACTCTCTCTTACATCCACACGCTGCTGCGCTGTTGCCGCTCCCCTAGGCACGGGCTCTGCACTGCCGCCAGCTCCGTGCTCCCACCCAGCTGCAGCCTTACTGCACCACGCTCCCCCCCCCTGCTTCCCAACCTGCTGCTCAGAGCCAGCAGGAGACCGGGGAAGCAGAGCAAGTCCCTGTGGCTGCAGTAATGGCAGCAGCTGTGTGCTGGCTGGGCTGCACTCTTCTACCCATGAGGGTGGGAGCAAGGCAGTAGGGTATGTTTGGGGCTATGTGTACACATGGGTGCCTTGCTCCCACCCTTGTGGGCAGAAGGGGTGGGCGGAGTACAATTTGTTGCGGGGCACGGTGGGCCAGATGCAAGTGCTTGATGGGTAAAATCTGGCTTGAGGGCCATATTTTGCCTGCCCCTGGCTTAGATCTATGATCTGTGAATTCAGTAACCTGCTGCCCAATGGGTGGGTGGAGCAGAAAGCAGTCACTTATTCTTGGCCCTGTCAGTGGATAAAAAGCACTCTGGCCTGATTTTGGTGTAGTGGTTGTAATAGTAATCAGAAGTAGCTCCTGAGAAGCCAGTGCAGTTGGACAGGTGTTTCAGCACCAGTGCAGGTACAAATCACCAGTGCAGCAAGGGGCAAATCATTTAGCGCTAGTATAATTCTTTCTCTCTTGGCCATAGAACAGTGGCTAGACAGTGTGCTACAGATTCCTTTGCCATGAATATGTTTTGTTTTTAAAATAGTCAAAAATAGAATTCAGTTAACTTTTTTTTAAACAAAAATGCACCACTTGAAAAGACTCTCAGGTAAAAAATCATCCTCTGCAATGAAGAAAGTGAGTCTTCCAGTATGGGGAATAGTTGTGGAAGAGCACCAGCAACTTTCACGTGTAAACTACTGATAGAGTATCTGTGGCTACCCACTTTGTCCAGGTAGCATGGGCTAAAGATGGCACTGAACAAGAGCAGGCGCACTCACTTGCTCTGGACTGCTCTTACCTTAAGATGCCTCCAAACAAGAAGTATATGAGTCTGGGTGGCATTACTTTAGAATGGTGCCCTTATATTACCATTGGCTGTGTTAGTGTCTTGAGGCTTTTGTCAAGGGAAAATGTTGTTTTAACTGCTTTGAAGTTTCTAAATAAGTGTTTTTTTGGTCAGGTTGCCTCAATTTCACCAGTGGTTTGCTGGAGCATACCTGAAACTGTAAAAGCTTTTGAATTATCTAGATTGGTGTTTGTCAAACTTTTTTTCTTGTGTGGACCCCTATAAAATTTCAAATGGAGGTGCAGACCCCTTTGAATTGTAGGTGTGGGCATTCACATACTTTTGATTGAACATAATAATCTTTCATGGACCCTTTAGATATAGTCTGCAAACCCCCATGGGACCACAAGTTGAAAACCACTGATCTAGATTAATAGTTTTTAAGGTCAGAAGGGGTCATTATGATTGCATAGTTTTTAGTACTTACGTGACTGGGGGCAAAGCACCTGCCTCAGTGAATTCCATATCAAGACCATGACCGCTGTGTAAGCTAGAGCATGTTTTTAGAAAGACATCTAGTCTTTGTCTTAAAGACTGTGTAAAGAAGAATTAACAACCTTGCAAAGTAAATCTGTTTCAATGGTTTATTAGTACCATTATTAAAAATATCTGCCTTTTAGCTTCTAACTCCTGAATCAAACTGTCCCTTTCCCTGCTAGAATAAGGAAACCTCTGTTATCAGAAACCTCTTTCCCCTGAAAGTCCTTGCAGATTGTGATCTGTCACCTCTTAATCTTCCCACAGATCAACTCAATACACTGAATTTTTCCTCCTTCTCTGTAAGACTTGTTTTCCACACTTCAAAACATTTTTGTAAACCTTTTCGGGACCTGTTCCAATTTTTCAGCATCCTTTATGAATTGTGAATGCCAGAACTAAACGCAGTATTCCGGTGTTAGTATTTATTACTAATGCCACATCCAGAGGTAATATCACCCCCTTTCTCCTACTTGATCCTCCTCTGCTTATATATCCAAGGATTGTGTTTCCCTCTTAGCTACAGCATTGCACCGAGAGTTCATGTTCCATAGGTTATCTGCCATTAACCCAAATACCTTTTCAGGGGCACTGCATCCCAGGACACCGACTGTCATTTTGTAAGTGTGACCTATGTTCTTTGCTCCATTTAGCTGTGTTGAAAGGCATGTTTTTAAAATGAGTTAATCTTAGCAAAAAGAATTTGGGATCGTCCATGTAACCTGCCTGTCCACATCATTATTTATCACTTGCCTGTATTTTTATCTATGCAAATTTTGCATATAATTATATATTTTTTTCTTCCACATCATTGATAAAGAAGTTGGCTCAGGAGCATTAGGCTGAGGGCACACCTCTATGGGATGCTAGTATGTGGAGGACATTTCTGCCTTTACAATTACTTTCAGAGAGCAAGCAATCTGCTTTTATTTAGTTTGATTTTGAGTGATGGTCATTTTTTCTGGAAAACATCAGGGCTAAGAAAAATGTAACCTAGATATCTTATATTGACACAGTTACCTTTACCAACCTAATTGTGCTCCCATCAAAAATATTGACAAGTTTGTTTGACAAGACCTATTTTCCATAAAAAACACGTATATTAATGTATTATCATTTTTAATTCCTTGCTGAGTGTATGTCATTGCTTTTTCCATGATTTGCCTTTGATCAGTTTCTGGATAACCAGCCTATATTTGCCTAGGTCATCCCAGTAACTCACTTTTTAAATATCAGTGCAACTTTCCTGGATTCCAGGACTTTTTAAACATCATCCTTAATGGTGTAGAGTAGGGCTGTGCGAGGCTTCGGGCCGTGCTTCAGATCCGGAGAAGCTTCAGATGCTTCATGTCTGAAGCAGCATGTCCGGTTCGAAGCACTGGCTTCGTTAGGCTTCCCGAAGCTGTTTGGAGCTTCCAAAGTGCTTCGGAGATGCTTCGGAGATCCAGCCATAGGGTATAATGGGGAATCAATGAAATAGCTATAATGTTGTTGTTTGTTGTCTGATTTGGATGAAATTTGCAGGGTTTGTAGCCTCTGCTGAAAGCATGAAGCTTGCCAAGTTTCAAGAAGATCGGTGGAGGGGCTTGGGGGGAACTGCACCCCAAATTCTTGAAAGCAAAACTCATGTCACATCTATGTGTTACAACACAGAGGGGTGAAAACTGCAGGGGTGGTGGCCTCTGGTGAGGCCACAAAGCCTGCCAAGTTTCAAGAAGCTCGGTGCAGGGGTTTGGGGGGAACTGCACCTCAAGCTGCTGAGAGGCAAAACTCATGACACAGATGACCCTGTGTGTGTTAAGGTGTATCGGGCTGACAACTGCGGGGATGGTGAGGCCACAAAGCCTGCCAAGTTTCAAGAAGATCGGTGCAGGGGTTTGGGGGGAACTGCACCTCAAGCTGCGGACAGGCAAAACTCGTGACATGGGTGACACGGTGTGTTAAGGCGCAGCAGGGTGAAAGCTGCAGGGGTGGTGGCCCCTGCTGCGGCCAGGATGCCTGCCAGCTGTCGAGAGGGGTGCAGGGGGGGTCTGGGGCCCTGTACCCCTAGCTGCTGACAGGCAAAGCTCATGTCGTGGGTGCTTCTGGGACTGACTGTGTCTGTCTTGGGACTGGGAGACACTACTGCAGAACTGGCTGGCTAACTTCTGTGGC